CTTAGCCCCGAGGAGGACGCGCGCGAACAGACAACGGCTTCAGAGCAGGGACTCGCAACACCCGTGACGCCAGCCCTGGGCGGCCGGCTCAGAGCGAGCGGACGGAGAGAGGGCGTCAAACACGAGGGAGGGGAAGCGGCGAGAAACGGCTGCGGGTCAAGAGGAAGCTAAAATGATGAAATAATATACCGTACACTCTATCCTGGTACATTTGAAAACGTGAATGAAATAGATTTTTTTTAAATGTTGTAAAAACTGAGCACTATGTCTATGAATTTGCACATGTATTCTTTCAAACGTTCAAGGAGCAGATAATTCCAATGATATCTAAAGTGTTCTTGGAATGGAGAAAAAAGAAGGAAATCCTTTGGGTTATTTTGCGACATTAGCATAAGAGCGATGCCTAAAATCGTCAGAGAGAGACAGCGTGCAAGCGGCAGGCCAGGCTCTGGCGTGGACGTTAGTGCAAAGTGCTAAACCGGAGAAGGGGAGCACAGGTTGGCATTTCCTAGAGAATTCTATAGGAAGCAGGATGTGTGCTCGACGGGGCTCATTTTAGGAGCGTAAAGATGGCTCATATTAGAACATGATTCTGACCCCAATGCTGCCCATAATCGCGCATCGTGGCTCACTCAGGGGCTGGGCCTCCAGCACCCTCCTGCCTTCCTCTCCAGGGGACAGTGGGAGGTTGACAACACCCCGTGCCCTGCAGCCATGGGGCCGGGCAGGGGAGCGCCACGTAGGCCTTGGCTAAAGTCTCCTCTGGAAAGGGGGCCCCTGTGGCTGCTGAGACCCTCTGCCCTGCCTGTCCTTTGCCCACGTCCTCCCCCTCATCCTGCCTTGAACACAACATGTGGCCCTAGGGGCGGGGTGGGGTGCGGCCTAGGGCCGTGAGGTCCACATGCATAACCACACTCAACTGTCACAAGGGCAGACATCCTCGGCCACACCCAGAATACATTTTAGAAACAGCTTTCTGGTGGTGTAGTTGACATTATCACAACTTTAAGACCACATGGTTTTGACACAGATCCACAAAACCATCACCACAATCAAGATGGGACACATCTGTCCCCAAAATTCCCTGGTGGTCCTGTGTGACCCCTCCCACCCCACCACCCCGGACAGCTTCTAATCTGTTTCACTGTAGATTTTTGTGCATTCTCTAGAAGTTCATATAAATAGGATCATACAATATGTAGTATCAGGGTGGGGCTCCATTTACAGTGCGTAACGCTTTGACATGAAGGTACATGTGTGTTGCTGCGTGTATGGACAGCTCGTTCCTGTCTGTTGCTGAGCAGGCTTCCGTGGTGTGGACGCACACGGCTGTCCATGCTTCGCCTGCTGGTGGACACGTGGGCTGTTTCCATGAAGGGAGCTGCTCAGAACACTCATGGACGCGTGTGTGTGGACAGCTGCTTCCGTGTCTCTCGGGCGAGCCCCTGGGCGTGGAACAGCTGAGTGTGCGGTGAACTTAGATTTCTCTTCTTGAGAAACTGCCACCGCGTTCCAAAGTGGCTGTGCCGTCCTAAACGCCCCGCTCAGGGTTTGTCCGCGTGACAGTACTTGGCTTTCCTGGAGTGTCTGACTCCACCACCCTTGGTGGGTCACGGGGCACTTCTGTATTTCTGTATGACAGTGATGTTGGGCACCTTTTCATGGCTTCATAGTCATTCGTGTATCTTCTTCGGGGGGATGTCTATTCAAATCTTCTGCACATTTTTTTTTCTTTTTTTGCTGAGTGTGCGGTGAACTTAGATTTCTCTTCTTGAGAAACTGCCACCGCGTTCCAAAGTGGTTGCGCTGTTCTAAATGCCCAGCTGCAGTGTGTGAGGGCATGGGTTCTTGCTGCTCTTTTATCACAGGCATCCTAGTGGGGGTGGGGTGGCATCTCACTGTGGTTTTGATTTGCATTTCCCCACGACTAATGACGTGGAGCATCTTTTCATGGCTTGTTGGCCATTTGCAGATGGATGAAGTCTTCCAGGTGGCTTGGGCGCCCATCGATGCTGTCATGATGTGGTTTTCCAAAATGGGAGCTCTGCCACCGCAACCATTCCTCAAGCCTCATCCGTATGCTACAGCCTTGCAAGAAAGACCTCGTGTCTATGTGTAGCCGTGCCAACTGCATGTGAGCGCATGTCTGTCTACTCACCAAGCCACATGGCAGGAAGAGAATTCTGATGGTGACTGTCCTGGAGTGAGTCAGCTTGGATGAGGTTTCCCTGTCTGTCCTGCTACTAAGACTCCTGGCCCTGGCAACCCCCCAACCTCTTCCCTGCTTTCCACCATCTGGGCCAAGCCTGGGCAGGTGACCTGCTGCCCCTCCACATGCCACAGCTGACCGAGTGCCCCCTTGCCTGAGCTCCCAGGGAAGGGACGGGCTAGGACCTGGCTCATCTGTTGAGGAGCGGGTGGTTGTGCTCACGGGTGTGAGGTGTGGAGGGGCTGAGGGGCCTGTGAGGGAGGGCAGCGAGCAATGCAAGTTGGCAGGAAGAAGGGACACTCAGCTTCCGGGGTTAGGGTTGAGGAGTCTGAGGGACTCAGGGTTCAAAATTCAGGTCTGAGGTGAGAGGAAAGTCCAGGGCTAAGGGACGCCTTGGGGAGCACAGTGGTGGGAGAAGCAGGAAGAGGGGGCGGGGGGTGACAGAGCCCAGGCCTCTCAACCATGGGGGTACGGGGGTGAGAGCCAGGAGGACTCCAAAGCCTGAGCAGTCCCCAGGACAGTGGGGGGCAGTCAGCCTGGGGCAGTCGGCCAGTGTCCTGCCTCCCGCCTGCCCGTAAATCCCACCTGGCCCACCCCACAGACTCAGGTCTCAGCCCTCGCTCTGGGCCTGGGAGCCGCCCAGTCATCCAGCCCCAGCAGGCATCTGGAAGCTGGAGGACTTTGATGTGGAAATCTCTGCACCTATTTAGGTTGCTCATTATTTTTTAAAAGAGCTGACGCTAAAAATAGCACCGGATGCATAACAAATGTGAAGTCGTTAGTCTCTGGAACAAGGAGTGGTGACAGAATTGGGCCTGTGCTATTCAGGGTCCTTTCAGTCCACACTGGAAAGGGGGACTTGAACAGCTGCCGACCTCCCACGGCCCTGAGGGCACAGCACGGACCCTCCTCTCACCAGGCAGAGGGGTGGCGTCCGGGAGCCCCGCTCGTGTCCTCCAGGCCCTCTTGGGGCACACGAGGTGGTGGGGAACTCACACTAAACCCCCACATCCTCAGCCCACTGGGCCCATACAAAAGCATCTGTGTTGAGTGTCCATGTGCAGCCAGGGGCCCCTCTCTGTCCCTGCTCTCAGCTGCCTGCTGTCCAGCTGCTCCACCCAGGGCCATGAGGCCCCTTCCCAGGACTCGGGAGGCAGCAACTCCTGCCCTCAGGCCACCTCCCCACACCCATGCCCCCACCTCTTCCCCTTCTTGGTCAGGCTAGGCTGACCCCCCAACCACACCTCATTGCCCCCTGGACCACACCCCATGCCCTGCTGTCCCAGGACCCCACCCCACTGCCCCCAGGACCAAGCACCACGCCATGGTGCCACCTTGACCACTGGCCCCCAGGCTCCCCAGGAGTGACCGCAGGAGGAGGCCACAGGCCTGAAGCCACAGGGCTACAGTGCCCTTTGGAGGCTAATGTGGAAGGTGGATCTGAGGCCTCAGGTCAGAGTTTTCAACTCATCACCCCCAAGACACTTCCTAGGCAAAAGCTTTACTTGAGGACATGTGCTCATGAGACCTTGACAGACTACGGGTCCTCTGTACTGGGTTCTACACACACACAGGTGTTTCTATGGCCCTCCCACCCTGCCCACTCACCCCCACGCGACCACACACACACAGGTGTTTCTGTGGCCCTCCCACCCTGCCCACTCACCCCCACTCGACCACAGACACGCGAGCACTACTCACTGAATCCTGCTTTGTGTGACGTTTGATTCAACAACTCACATTCTGGATAAAGAAGAGGCCCCCCAGAGCCTCTCAAGGGCCACAGTGCTGCCCCTGTCTGAGGACCTGTGGTCACCAGGACAAGGGCTCAGGCCAGGGTTGTGGCAGGTCACAGATCCAAAGGAAACTTAGAAAGTCATTTCTGACCAAAACACCAAGTCCCACAATCACTGTCACGTCTTCAACTTGGCACCATTCATGGATGGGCTCACTTCTGAAGCCTCAGCAGTACCATCTTCGCCCAACACGCCTGAGCAGCCAGGCACTTGCCCAGCAGGCCTTTAAAGAAATCTAGTTTTTGTTTTAAATTCCCTGAATGATCAAATCTAAAGGCCCCACCCCACCCTGCTTGGACGCAGGGAGCCAGGGCAGTCCAGCTGGCGGGGCAGAGCAGGGCGAAGGCAGGGGCTAGAGCTCAGTGTCCCCACTTCCTCAGCTGTGCTGTGACCACAGATGCCCAGCCCCACAGCAGCAGCCTCCAGGCATCCATTCCACGGCATCTTCCCCACCACACACAGTGACCACAAGTGTGCCCAGTGCCCCCAGACCCAAAGCCTCTGCTCTTGCCCACGCACTATGGCTCTCCTGCTTGTGACTGCACACACAGGCCACTGGTGGGGGTTGCCCTAGAGGCCCGGACATGGCCAGCACGGCAAGCACCCAGGCAGCGACATGATGGCCCTCAGAGAAGCTCGGGCACGTGCTGGGGTGCAGAGATCAGCAGCTCTCCCAGAGATAGGCAGGCCGGCCCTCCAGGGTCCCAGCAGTGATGTAACCAGCCCCTCCCAAGGAAGCTGGGATGAGGCCTGGCAGGAGAGTCAAAGCCCCAGCTCCATATCTCCCTCTCAGTCTGTCGTCGGAATCTTCCTTCTGCAGTATGTGACATCCCAGCCACGCCCCCTCTGGCTGGTGGAGGCCACAGCCAAGCTGGCCACACCCCCAATTCCAGATCAGAGTCAAGATCCAACAATCCAGCAATGGGTGGGGAAACTGAGAAGAAACGTGTTACAGGGCGCCCAGTAGGGAGCTGCACCCACGCTGGACACTCAGCAGTCATCAGAAAATAGTTTAATTATGTACAGACGATCATCAGACTGATTACAACGGGAGATGTGCACGACACCTTCAGATTCGGAGAAAGGATGGCCGAGCAGCACAGTCAACCAAGAGCAGAGGCTCTCAGAGGCGAAGGTCACCAAACACCAAATGAATCACAAGCTGTGGCAACCACAGGAGGAGCGTGAATCAACACCTCCTTCGGGACAAGAAGAAGGAAAACAAGACAAGAATCGGAGGCTTTGGAATGCTTTCTCTTCTCATCAATGAAATGACGGCGTCCCAGTTGATGGAGGGACAGCGGGAGTGGGTGACGACCGATACAGCCGCCCATAGCGCACCTGCTGCAGGACAGGCCTCGCAGTCAGGCCCAGCAGCCCTCAGCTCCGTGAGCCACACATGCAGCAGCAGCCGTCGCGGGCCTCAGAAGAGGGGCCGGGAGCCCTGGTTCTCAAACTCCGACCAGGCGTCGTTGAGCTCCATGAAGATCATCTTGGCATGCTGCTCGTACGGCTGCCCTGTGGCCTGTGGACGGCAGGACGCATGAGAGCCGGCACCGCCCACCCACCACCTCCGCAAGAGCACCCAACGTGACACACCCGCCTGCAGAGCAGCGGCTGACCCACCACCTGCCCTCACCTTGTCAGGGTGTACGGCCAGCACAGCGCGGCGGTACTGTTTCTTCACCTGGCTCGGCGTCACCAGGTCGGCCATGCCCACAGGCGTCCAGCGGCTCTCCCCGTCCCACAGCACCGTGTGCAGTGTGGACAGCAGTGCGCGGATGTTCCTCTCCTTGCCCTCAACCCAGTCCAGGAGCTGCAGGAGGCACAGGAGCACACTGAGCCGCGGCTCTGCTGTAGGCAGGTCCTGGAGCTCTCAGCGGAACAGGACAGAGCACCTCCCACACACCCTCCCCTGCTGCATGGGGGACATGGAGGCACACTAGAGAAGTGCTGGGTGTTGTAGCTACTCAGAGGGGTGGGCAGCAGTTTGAGCCCCAGCAGGACATCCCAGACCTGGGCTCCTGGCCATCCCATGGCTTCCCAAGGGTAGTCACCCCCTGTAGCAGCTGGTGTGTGTCCAGACCATGGCGGCTCTCTGGGGCACGCACAGTCCTGGCACCTCCCTGCCCGTCCCTCTCAGGAAAGCACAGGGCTGCACTGGAAGCCGCTCGACCACCACTGGTTCTGCAGAGGTCCTGGGCCCCAGACCGAGGCCTCCGCCTCCCACCACCCAGGACTGCTGTCACCAACCCTGGAGGATCCCAGGACAGGTGGCCCACCATCACACTGAGCCTTTGTGGCAAACCAGGAGACACCCCACAGAGGCCTCAGGCCAACGCTGACCCTGAGGGCTGCTGGGTCCACCTGCCATGACAGGCCCCTGCCACAGGGGCCCCAACTCGAGGCCTTTGGGTGTAACCTTGACCTGGGACCCCCGCAGGAGCCGGGGGTGCCGCACCTTCAGCTTAAGTGGGTCTGTGTCCTTGGCCAGGTCTTGCTTCCTCATCTCTGCGATGGTCCTTGGCCCCTTCTTGTCAGACTTGGAGGAGAAGCCCTGGTTGGACAACAGATCTTCAAAGTCGTTCTCTGAGACTTTCGGCTTTTGAGCTGCAAAGAACAGAAACCTTTTATAGAGATGTGCAGGCCCCGACTCTCCCTTTGTGCACTTCCACCTGCTCCCCCGGGGGACGGGGCCACTGTCTTTAGGCCCCAAATGCCACTTGCTAGACCAGGCTGAGAGGCTGACATGGGGCCAGCAGGCTCAGAGGAGACCCCAGCAGACTCGTCTGAAGCCCCTTCCTTCTGCCCAGCAAAGCCCCGACGGGGAAGACAGACCTGGCTGCCTGAACCGTGCCACCCAGGACCAGGCTCTGAGGAGAGCACAGAGCAGGACTTCGGGGCAAACCCACAGTGGGGAGGAAGAGGGAGGACTTACCAAAGCTGGGGATGCGGACCCCCCGCTCCTCTCGCCCCCCAATCACGCTGAAGTTTGCCACATAGTTAGGCTTTGGCTGTGCACAGGCCTTGGGCAGCGGCTTGGCCTGGGGGGACCACGAGGTGCCCTGGGCCGGCAGCTGACTGGTCTGCCAGGAGCCACTGCCCTTGGGAGGGGGTCCCATCTTGGGAACGAAGCTCCCAGGAAGCAGCCCAGCAGGCGAGCCTGGGGAGAGAGGACAGGACACTCGGGGTCTGTGCGCCACACGGGGGCCACTCAAGCACTGGCTGATGCCACTTCTGGGACCTAAGACAGCACATCTGTGGGGAGATCTGTGTTCACAGAATGAACTATCCACCCCTCGATGCAGTCCAGTGTCACGGGCTCCACCTAATGCATGTGGGTCTCGGTGCCGGGCGGCACGGGCCCACGCTGCGCCATGAGAGCACTCTGCATCCAGGTCAGGGAAACTGCCGCAGGACACACCCCACTCCCATGGTCTGGCCACCTTGGCCCAGCTTGGTCAGGGTCTGGGCACCAGTGTCCTCGTCTGAAGAGCAGCCTGGAAGGCCACTGCTACGGGTGGTGTGGCGCACCGCCCCTCAAAGCCCCGCAAGTGTAGGGCACGTTCTTTAACTTTCTACTTTGGAAGAGCGAGAGCCACAGGAAGCTGCAATACCAGCACTGCAAGACCCCAGCATCATCATGGGCACCCCCAGAGGTGACCCCACCGATACAGCCTGTCCAGACACATGTGTGCATGCCTGTGCAGTCTCACCATGTGTAGTAGATTCCCGCAAGTGCCAGGACAGTCGAGACACTGCTCCGTCCCTCTATGGTCTGTCATTTCAAGGACACTTTAGAAATGCACCAGAGGGCAACTTTGCAGCTGGCTCTACCTTCAGTACGACGTCCATCTGAGCCATGTGGCACCCACAGCCTGCACCTTTTTATTGCCAAGGAGCACCTCATGGTGTGGAGGGGCTGCCTGCGTGTTCGACCATTCACGTTTGACTGTTCACCTGCTGAAGGACATCAGGGCTGATTCAGTGTTTGATGATTACAAACAAAGCTTCTTTGAACACTTGTCTATGGATTTTTGTGTAAACACGAGTCATTTCTCTGGGATCAATGTCCAGGGTCGTGTGGCAGCCACGTGTTTAGTTTTGCAAAAAATGATCAACTGCTCTCCACGTGGCCGTACCATTTCACATTCCCACCAGCAACATGTGAGAAATCATTTCTCCAAGTCCTCACCAGCATCTGGTGCTGCACCGTTTTCTCCTTAGCATCCTGATGGGGTGATGTCCCACTGAGGTTTTCACTTGCATTTTTGGACGTCGAGTGATGCTGAACATCTTCCCGTGTGCTTATCAGCTTTCCAGGTGTCATCTTTGCTGGAATGTCCCTCTTCCTGTCTCTCACCCACTTTCTAATCAGACTGCTTTTCTGTTTGTTTTTTATCGTATTTACACATTCTAGATATGAGTCCTTTGTCAATTATGTGGTTTGAAAGTATTTTCTCCCAACCAGTAGCTCAGTCTTTCAGAGTTTTGGCAAAGTCCAATTTATCAATTTTTCCTCCTATGTACAGTGGCTCAGGTGACATGTCTGAACTCGTCTATGTTTTACAATCAACTTTGAGCTGCTGTGTGAGGGGTGAGGCTTAGGTCAAGGCTCATTTGTTGCCTACGGAAGTCCAATCGCTCCAGCACCATTTGTCAAATAGTTTTTGCGCCCCTGCTGAAAATCGGCTGGTCTTTCTTGTATGGGTTTACTTCTGGGTTATCTTTTCTGCTGCACTGATCTGTGTGTTTGTCCCTCTGCCATCACCACACTGTCTTGATTTCTGTGGCCACAGAGTAAGCCTTAATGCTTAATTTCTCCCTCGTTATTCCTTACAAAAAAGTTTAGTTCATTTGCCTTTCCAAATAAATTTTACAATAAGCTTTGTCTGTATCTACAAAAATCCTTGCTGGGATTTTGGTAGGGGCTGTGTTAACCCTACAGATCAGTACAGGGAGAACAGATATCTCTACCAGGTTCGATGTTCCAATCTGTGAACGTGGCATGTCTCTCAGACCTCTGAATTTTTTCGTCATGTTCAGTTTTGTAGTTTCACTATACAAGTCCTGTACATGTTTTGTTAGATTTATACTTAAATGTTTCCTTTTTTAAGTGACTATAAATTGTACTGTTTTTAATTTTGGTTTCCTTGTGCAGTTGCTAGTAAACAGAAATCGCAATAGATTTTTATGTGTTTATCTTGTATTCTGAGACCTTACCGAACTCTAAGTTCTAAAAGATTTTTGTAGATTCCTTGAGTTTTCCTACACAATCATGTCGCCTGCAAACAGGAACACTTTTATTTTTTCTTTTGCGGGATGTATAACTTCTACTTCCTTTTCCAGCCTAATGGTGGTTGCTGGGACTTACTACGAGCAGAGAGAGGACCTTCCTGCCTTGTTCTTGACTTCAGGGGAACAGTAAGTATGGCAGCCGAATGCTTAATGGACAACAGTCTCCTCTTTTTATCAGTTTGCCAAAAGTGTTACCATAAAAAAGCACTGAATTCTGTCAAATGCTTTTTCTGCATCATCCATATGATCACATGAGTATTCTTCCTTGGCTGGTTAATGAGGTAGATCTGCTGGCTGACTGTGGAATACTGAACCAGCACTGCATTCCTAGAATAAACTCTAGCTGGTCATGGTGTACAGCTCTTTTATATGTTGATGGACGTCACTAATATTTTGTTGAGGGTTTCTGTGTCTACATGCATGAGGAATACTGGCTTGCAGTCTTCCTTTTTTAAACTGCTGTTGTCTGATTTTTGGTATCAGAGTATTAACACAAGCTTTATAAAATCCATTGGAAAGTGTTTCCTCTCTTCCAGTTCCTGGAAGAGACTGTGTGGGATCAGTACTCTTTAAGCATTTGGTAAACTTCTCCAATGAACCCCTCTGGGTCTGAGGGTTCCTTTTGGGGAGGCTTTTAATTAGAATTCATTTTCTTTATAGTTTTAGAACTATTTGCGTTGTCCATTTCTATTGGGTGCATTTGGTAGTGACTGGTTTTGAGGAGTTTGTCCATTTCGTGTACGTTGTCACGCATATGTGCAGAGCCACTTGTACTCCCTTACCGTCCTCTCAAGGCCTACAGGTTCTGTATGATGCTGCCTGTATCAGTCCTGACACTGGTAACTCGTGTTACCTTCCTTTACTTTGTCAGTCTCGGCAGAGGTTTGTCAATGTTATTTTTGTTTCATTGACTTTCTCTTTCTTTCCTACTTCACTGACTGCAGTGCTTCACTACCTCCTTCCTTCTGTCGGCTTTAGGGTTATTTTGCTCCTCCTTTCCAAGTTTCTTGAGGTGAGAGCTCATGTTACTCATGAGGCATGCCATCTCTTCTAGAGTAAGTATTTCATGTTATGAACGTCCCCGCGGCACTGCCTTAGCTGTGGGCCCAGGCGTTGGTCTGATGTGTTTCCGTTCTCATCTGAGTCCATGTACCGTCTTACTCCCCTTGAGACTTCCTCTCCTGCCCGTGTGTCATGTACAAAGTGCTGTTTTGTTTCCAAGTGAGGAGATCCGTCTGTCATCTTGCTGCTACCGATTCCATTGTGCTCGGGGAGCACCTGTGCTCTGCCACGTCCACACTGACTCCCCGTCTGGTTTCATATCACTGTGGACAGCGGAGTGCCAACATCTCCAACCACGATGCGGTTCCACTTCTCAGCTGCATCAACTGTGCTCTGTTCAGGGTGGCTCTGTTTTCCAAGAGGGTGTCACAGAGGATCTCAAGCCACCCACCAAGCAAGCTGAGGGCTAGGGCTCTAGCCTAAGAACAGGCGACCTGGCAGCCCAGGAGGACTCAGGGCCCCCAAGCAAACATAGGCTGCTCTCCCTGCAGCCCACCCTGCTCTCAGACAAGACGAGAGAGACCACCCAGGGAAAGAAAAGACAAAAACAACAGACAAAAACTTCCGTGGATGTCCTCAGAAAGACACCGCAACCTTAAAAATAGCCCAGAAAACTATTTTAAAAATTAAGAGTACTCAAAGAATAAAAAGACTCTTGGGACTTAATAACATGGTAACAGAATGAACTTCAATCCCACCTCCCCAAGTACAAAGGTGAACAGGAGATGATAAAGGAGAGAAGAGACAGGAAATAGAAGCCAGCCCAGGAGATCCAACATGCATGTCTCAGGAGCTCAGGAGAATTAGGGAGAGGAAAGGAAAGAAATTAAAGAGACAAGCCAAGAAATTTTCACAGGGCTGAGGAATGTCAGAGGCCCAGTGCGGGGGCTGCAGGGAGAACAGCCACTACAACCCACCCAGATGGTCTGATCAGCACCAGCTACAACAAGCATCCCAAAGAGGTGTTAAGTCCAGCTGGGAATTCCACGCCCAACAGTCAAGGGATGAGAGTAGACGAGAGACACCTTCAGATAATCATCACCCCCTCATGCTTTTCTCAGAAGCTACTGGACAAGGAGATACAGGCAGGGGAGCTGCAGGGACCCTGGGAAACACAGCTCAGAAGTGAACCCGAGAGACTGTGGAGTATGCATAAAGCAAATGTACTTCACAGGGTCTGGTTTTCCAAGTCTTGCAGTTTCAAATATTGACCTTGCAAAGGACAGGAAATTTTGCCCAGGCTATAAAGTTTCTGTTGTAAGATAAAGAATTGTAACACAGCAAGGTTGCTGGCTCAAAGACAGACAGGCTACTGACTGGTAGGTAAAGATACTGGGAAATTGCTGTTAAGAAGAGAATGTTCACTAAAATCAAGCTTTTGTTGCAAACTGCATTATGGAAGGTCACCTTGCCTGTCTTACTGAAGGTTACCAGCTTCTACTGTTAAACTTGTTAAACTGTACTTAGCAAAAACCCCACCTATGTTCTCTTCCTGGTTAATTTCCCAAATGGAAGGAATGCCTCACTCTTGAGGGTTCCAGGAGATTAACCCCTTTTCGGGGCTTCTCACTGCTCAGAAGAGATGGGCTTTGAGTAATCTTTGGCAGCTCTGTCACCCAGGGTAAAAGGGGTGACAAATCTGTGGGAGGCAAAGCAACAAGAGACCACAAGGCATCGGATCAGCTCCGGGAGAGAGATTCGAGGCCTATGGTGTCCTGGGGCCAAAGCCCAGCCACAACCCTCCCACACAGAGCCCCCGCACTGCCCTGACAGCCCACACAACACAATGCTGGCCAGTTTCTGCAGCTCCTGGTTTTAGCTAGCCAGTTAACAAATACCTGAATGGGAGCAGACACACGTTCCCCGAGCTGCTGTGCTCTGGACTCAGGGGTCTCAGTGAACAGAGGCAGAGACCTCACCTCAGGCAACTCAGAGTGGGACAAACAAGAATAAACCTCCTGCAAGGAAACATGACACCCTCCATACACTGGGCATTTACCTTGGAAGCTGGAGCTAAGGTCACCAAGGTCGGCAAATGGGTCCAGGCTCTGAGCCTTAGTCCGGCTGGCCTGGGGGCCAGGCGGGGCTGGCTGACCTCCAGGAGTGAAGAGGGGGCCTGGAGAAAGGGCACAGGGCATTAGAAAAATCACCACTTGAAGTAAAACACACACCCCCAGGAGCCTCTGCTCCTCCTTCCTTACAATCCGACGGGCCTCTCTGAGCCCACAGCCAGCATCTGCACAGCTTTGACAAGACACAAGAAAGGGCACACACAACACGCCAGCCCTGAGAGAATCGCATGCTCATGGCACAGCCGTCTCCAGTGCCCACATGGCTCCTCATGGAAATAACAATTCCTATCAAGACCCAAAAAGTGTTCATATTATTCTGATTTTGTAATACCACCTCCTGGAATCTATCTAAAATGTCAAAGTTCTTCATGATATTCTTGACAGTGTAAATTTGAGAATATTCTAAGAATAAAGTTATGAAATAGTTAAGTAAATTACTATAAGCTAATTGATGAAGTATTATGCAATCATTAAAAACAAAAGCTATTCATAAATAAAGAGCTCTCATAAATCAATAAAAAAGAATAAAGAAGATGAAATCATTCTCAAAAGAAATACAAAAAACCCAAACATACAAAATAACAGTCAACCTAATTTGTAAGGAGAAATGAAATTAAAAGCACTGATGGCTTATCAAACTGACAAAATATTTTTAAAGTTATCCAACTTTGGTGAGAAACTAAAGATAGGAATTGCACCTGGGCAAATAAATTAGTAAGACGTAAGCAGAGGGGACATGCATCAAAGCCTTTGCAAATACAACTGTGTGGGACAAGAAATTCACTGTCACTACCAGAAATGTCCCAGTAGGACAGACTCGTGCACTCATGAAAAGGACAGGTAGTTTCAGACGTGAACCACTCCATGCAATGGTGAGGCTGGCTGTGGCTCAGACACACAGGAGACAGCCGCAGTCTTTCACAAGGGTCCTTCAGAAGTGCAAAAAAGCCATGGGACACAGAGTATGCCGAGGTATATTATGGGTAAAAGAACTGGGCAATAAACAGTATGTGAGGTACGAGATCACGCTACAAAACACGGATGACCTGTAGGAGAAGAGGACACTAAGTGGCGTGGAGGGCAGGCACTGCCCCGCTCAGGAGGGCACATGGCACACACACACCTCATCTGCATGCTCCCACCAGTGAGCGAGCAAGAACCCTGCAGCCGCCACGAGCAACCTCAAGGCTGACCAGGTGTGCGGGAGCCAGTGTCACACCCAGCACGCCCCAGTCCTTCCTTCCTTTTCTGGGGGGAGGAGATCCAGTCACATTATGTGTGTCATAGAAAGAGGCACCAAGACCCTCAGAGAGGCCTGCAGTTGTACCATCTGTGGCTGGCGTGGGGGCCGGCCCAGGAGCTGTAGCCTCCGCCCAGGCGTCCCATCCTCCCAGCAGATCCGGGTGGCTGGAGGAGGCCGTCATCTTGCCGGGCTCTACAGGCAAGTCCCCTGGGAAGGAGGTGCCAGAAGAAAGCATGATTTGGTGTGGGGCAGTACACCTTGTTCATGTGGGTCCCTGTCTTCCCTGTCTTCCTCCCCATGGGAGCAGCAGACAAGTCTGCCGAGCACACAGCCCTGGGAGCGGGCAATGCCAGATGCCCCCAGTGGCCGACACCCTACTCACTCCTTCTGACAGCCCCAAAGGACGCATCATGGGGTCACTGCACTGACTGGCTGAGGGGACAGCAGGCAACAAGAGCCAGCGTCTGCACCTCCCTCATCTGAGAGGGTCTTCAGAGTCCTCCTCCTCTCCTGCCACAGCTGCTGGTGCCCCCAGAACACACCTTCCCACCTTTCCTAAAACCCACCAAACCCACCCCAGGGTATGTGGCAAGATCCATCTGTCCTGGTGCCCGCCACGCTGCACAGCTCTGGAGGACCCCACCCACGCTGCGAGGCCCCGCTCCACACAGTCCACCCACAGGCATACCCCACAGCCCATCCTGGACCACGCTGCTCCCTGCTCAGGAAAAAGAACCCAAGCTCCTTCCCTGAGGACCAGGCTGGACGGGCAGCCCGGCCCCTCACCTCTACTGGCCCCACCAGCCTCTGAGGAGCCTTCCTGACACAGGCACACCAGCCTTGGACACTCTCCTGCTGCACTATCCCTTGACCCCTGACCCTCCGACTCTCTGTACCTCTAACCCCTCTGCCCCCCGACCCTCTACAACTGACCAGTCCGACCTATCCCCCTGATCCTCTGTATCTCTGATCCCTCTGTCCCTCTGACCCATCTGCCCAACTCCTCTATCCCCCTCACCCTCTTTCCCCATGATCCCTTCTGGGTGCAAGTGGCCATCCCTGCTCACGGCTGCAGTCCAGGGGCCCAGAGAAGGCCTTGCCATGGTGTGGGGATAGAGAATCACCTGCTGAAGGGCCCAAGAAACACTGGGGCACTGTGGGGACCCAGGCCTGCTCCACATCTGGGACTGTTTGGGAGAGATGCAAGAACGGGCAACAGCATCTGTCCTGACCTTGTGGGTGCCCTGTAGGACCCTTGACCAGCCCTGGGCCACCTGGAAGGGCACCGAGAGGTGGTGGCCCTTGCCTGGCTCCTTGGGAGCTCAAGACCACAGGTCAGCTTCGTCCACCACCCGAGACCTTTGGCTCCACTTCCAACTTTAAGCCACAGTCCCAAAGGAGGAGCCACGTGAAGCAGAGATTCCCATGGCCCCCAGCTGCAACCCACGGCTTCGTGAAGCACAGGCCTGCCCCAGGTGGACACACTTACCCAGGTGCAGGAAGTCGGTGCTGCAGGGTGGGGGCGGAGCACTGTGGGTGGACGGGAAGGCAGGTGGGGCAGCCGAGGAGTCTGAATTGAGGAACTCGCCAAAGACATCAGGCTTGGAGCAGGGCTGGATGTTGGCATCAGAGGACAGCAGGAAGGGGTCAAACGGGTCGGCTGCAGAAAGACAGGTGGCACCAGGGTGAGAACTCTAGGGCTGGAGCACCAACCCATCTCAGGAGGAAAAGGAGCCGGATGAGTCATCCACAGAGGAAACCTCCTCAGCTGACCAAAACGAGAGCACAAAGTGGCCCTTCAGGAAACCGTGAGGCTGTCAGCCTGGACATGAGGACGGCGCTTGCCTGAGAGGATGGGGGAAGAGGGGCCTTCTGACACCCCACAACTCAGGAGCATAATGGGAAGCAGCCCTACCCGAGGCCGCTCCTTCAGGGGGTGGCCGTGGGGCAAAGACACATCCCCCTCCCCGCAAGCACCCCTAAGAGGGTGACGGCACCTCCGGCTCCTATGTGCAAGAGTGACTAAGCCTCATCGTTCCTTTGTGCGTACCAGTGGCGGGCAGCCCTGTTCTCGGAGTGCTGCACATGCCCAGGGGGGTGGCTGGGCTTGCCAGGAGCAGGGGGGTCTCGCCTCCCAGCAGATCGTCTGGGGGCTCTTCTGGAGCAGCCTCAGGGGGCCCCAGAAGGCGGTTGAGCAGGTCGGCGTTGCTGGAGGGGGCCCCAGGGGCCTGGGAGGGGGTAATCAGCCCCGGGCCTGCCTCCACATGCAGCCCCAGGAGGTCAACACCGTCCTCCTCCTGCTCCTGCGTCGCAGGCTCCTGCTGCCCTGCCTGTGCTGCTGGGCCCGGCTGGCCCTCTCCAGCCCTCGGCTCCCGGCTCTCACTCGGGAAGAGCGACTCTTCTGCTTCAGACACTTCGCTGTCGTCTCTGTCTTCAACAAGGACGGAGTGACTCTCCTGAGAAGAGGGGTCTTCTGCACCGGTCCCTAACTCTTTCTCCTCTGCAAAAAGAAAACCAAACCACAGTTGGTGGAGCCACATGTTCACATGGCTGGGAGACATGAGCAGGTGCCAGGCGCGGACTCAGCGGGCCACGGGGGCAGCCCAGGGTCCCGATGCACACCCCAGCGGCCACTCCAGGGCCTGGGGCACAAGGCAGATACGCACGGCCCAGACCGCCTTGGTGCTCTCCTGCCCAAGGGCCCAGTGCCACGTCACACCCGCTGACAATGAAACTTCTGGGGTTTCCAAGGCTTTTCTTTACCCCCCTGCTCCCCAAGCAGGGTCTGCTGGGCTGTCCCGTGCGCCACATGCACACGCCCGTCAGGTGGCTCTCCGAGTTCCGTCTCTCAGATACGGTGCACATCTGGGAAGGAACACCTGGCAAGGGGCAGCAGGACAGATGGAAGAGCATGCGCTCTGGGAGGAACAGCCTCACAGGAACAGAAGGTGAGAGGTCAGGGTGACAACACTGGGTGGGTACCTGAACAGTGGAAAGCACAGGACGGGGCCCCCCTGGCCCTGGTGGGGATGTAACCCCATGACTTGGCAGGGCCTGTGTGACCATCTTCCCCAAACCCACACCACCAGACCATCTGGGGGAGGTCTCAGCCAGAAAAGACCTCAAAAGAGGAACAGGGTTGGTGTTTTAGGGTTTGTGGGCATGTTCCTTTTTTCCCAACCTTTTAAAAAATACAAAAGCTATTAGTGTGTGTGAGCCATTATAATGCAGGCTGGAGAGTGGGATCTGCAGCCCAATCTGAGGGAGCCCTAGCTCGTCCTATGCCCACCCTCCAGGTGCCTCCAAACCCGCAACTGTCGTGGGGGCTAGACGGGCCTGCTCTGTAGCAAGCGGCCCACAGTGACCAGCAGGCCCCGGTCCACATGGCACTCTGGACCCCCTGCAAGGGTTGGAGGGTCTGGGGCCAGCCCTGCTGCCTACCCTGCCAGTCCAGCGTGTGCAAGAAGTGGTTGGTGTCTGTGCTGCTGCTCTGTGGAGAATCCGACTCTGTAGGCTCAGCCTCCAGGGCCCCCGCCTCAGCATCGTACTGAGCCGTGGAGCCAGGCTGCCTGGGGAGCTCCGGCTTCCCTGCGGGAGGAGGGGTCGCATCAGACACCTGCTACAGCCAGGCCCGGAATTGGGACGTGCACAGGGGTGGGCATGTGCTCACAAACGCCCTGATGCCAAACTGCTGGGAAACCACACCAGTGACACAAGAACGGCAAAGGGTGACTGTGGGCACATTGCCACTGCTGTCTGGGTCACACGCATGTGCACAGCACACATGCACACATGTGCAAATGCCCACACCCCTTTAAGAGATACTTAACTGTCCTCAGACAAGAAAATGTAAAAAACACAAACCAGAACCACAAAGAAATATGAGACGTGGCCAGGAAACACTCCCACAAGCCCTACGGCCACTGTGCTCCCTGCGCGGCTTCTCCCGCAGCTGCTCTGAAGTGAGAAGACCACGCTCAGCAGGTCCTGAGACAAGGCTCTCCACAACTTCGAGGCCACGTCTAAAATGGACATGTGTCCAGACAGGAGACAAGAGGAGACACCCAAGGCAGCAAGCCTCGAAACCCCACCCTGCGGGCAAAGTCCTCCAGGTGGACAGCAGCCCCAGCCCCACGTGGACCCCATAAACCAGAGGCCAGGGCTAGGACGCACTCGCACAGCAAATCACTGCCACGTCCAGGGCACTGAGTGCTGTCTCTTTCCCACTTAAGACAAGGGGAGGGACATGCTGGGGCCAGGATGCTGTGCCTGTGGGCGGGATGAGGGCAGCTCAGGTATGGGGTGTGGCTCTGAGAACCCGCCATGGCCGCACAAACCGTAAACAGATGGGAAATGACGCTTTCCTCCCTTCCCCCGTGTTGTGGCTGGTGCCATTATCAGACTTCCTCCAGCTCACAGCCTGAGCACCGCACTGGGTGCAGGTGGCATGCGGACAGGGCCAGGGGACGCTGCCCCACCCCTACGCAGAGCTCAGCTCCTGCAGGGTCTCTCACCACAGTGAATCATCAGAACTGGGTTGCCTGCAAGTGCATATAGAAAGCAGGAATCTCGTCACTTCACCTGTGAATCTTACCAAATTTAGACAGAATGTCCTGCTGCTCCTCCCGGCTGGAAAACAGGATCTTGGGGTTTAGTCCCCGCATGTTGGCGCTCTCCCATGGCAGGGCCTCCTGGCTTGGCCTGTCCCTAGGCTCCACCTCCACCTCCAGGTTCACTTGGAACAGATCCGGATACTTCTCCTGAATGTCACAGGCATCCAGGTCATACCTACAGTGTCGAGACGCCCCAGTCAGGAAGGCTGCGGAGTGCTTTACAAGCCACTGAAACCTTCACTGAGAAAGTGTGGAGAGTGGGTCCCCGCCCCCACCAAACCTGTGGCCGTGTAAGCCAACGCCCAGCCAGGGTCCCAGGAGCCCGCAGGGCACGAACGCATGATGTCCAGAGGGGTCTGGAGCACCCTGTGGGTCACAGCCCCTTCAGAGAATCATTCCACCATCTCCTCTGATGTCAGGGAAGGGATTTTCCCGACGGCGTTAACCTCAGAAGCACACTGGGCTGGGCCCCAATGTTTCCCACAAGTCACAAGAGGCCAAAAAGTGACCAGAGCACATGAGACAGCTCCGACTTGCAGGCGGCTGGGTTTCCCACCCCACCCCCACACAAGGGGTTCCAAGGCAGGTGCCAGCCTCACCCCCAACTACACATGTGCCACGGCTGCCCAGCTGGCTCAGATTGGGTGCTCTGGCATTTCAAATGCATTTTTCCATAAAAATGATGATGCCCACCCTGGCAAAAATCCCCAACTACTCTCCTGGAATCTGGCTGCCAGGGATTGGGAACAAGACCCCAGAAAGATGTAGCTGTGGCTCAGGGAGCCTGCCCCTGCTCGGCTGTGGGAAGCAGAGAAAGGCAGGGAGCGAGAGGAGGACATTTCGGGGTCTCAGACTCCATAGGGGGCAGCTGCCCAAGGCAGAGCAGGACAGGAGCAACCTCAGTGCATCTCACCAAACCATCCTAATGTTGTGGCCCCACATCTCCCTAGGGAACTACGGTACATTTTACACATTTCCCGAGTCACCAGGGACAACACGACAACCCTGGTTCTGCAGCCAGCAGCAACTCCCACTGTCTGTCTCATCCATCCTGTGCCTCACACTCAGGTCTTATATGTACTGAAAACAACAGAAAACAAACACAAAGAACTGGCGGCTGGCTCTTGGGAGACCCAGGGTGCAGGCCCCTCTGCCGGTGTCTGCTTGAGGGTGCGACTGCTCAAAGCACCAACGCGAAGCTGGGGAAGGCCAAGGTGACAGGTGGGTGGTTTGGGGGGACAAACCTATGGCTGATTTTAATTCTGATTTCTCTGGACTTTACAAAACAAACTGTCAAGTGCACTTGACTCCGAGGTACAAAGACCCCTAGGTTCACCCCTTCCTGCCCCACAAATGTAATCACCTCTGCACGAGGGAAGGGAACAGAGCCGAGTGGCCTGTGTGGGTGAGGAGGGCTCTGCCTGGAGGGGACAGGCATCCCCACTCCTTGCCAGTGGCTGCCAGCAGCCCAAGCCACCTCACTCTCACACAGGAGGCAGCACCCTTGCCACTCCCCTCTCAGGCTCCAGGCGGAGGTGGCAGTGGCAGAAGTTGAGACCAGTGTGGACTTCCTTCCATCCCTGGGTCCTCTGGTCCAGTCAGGCCATGCGGAGAAGTGCTTGGCCACGCGGGAGCAGCTAATACACAGAGGCAGGGACCACAGTGTCTGTGACGGGGTCAGCAGGCACCGGGAAGGAGTCCAGTGGCCAGCAAGGGTGCCCACCATGAAATGGCGCCGTAGCAGAGGAAGGCTCTGACCTGCCAGCAACACAGTGGACAGCGGGGCGGGCAGCAGACGCCACACAGGAGCCACACAAGCTTGGCAGGCTCAGCTCCTGGGGACAGATGGCCGTGGGCAGCTCTGGGCATGGCTTGCTCCTGGCCTCCCTACCCAGCTGGCCCTGGGCCTGCCCCCGCACCAGCAGGCGGTGAGGGAACAATGAGGTCTGTGAGCGGGGTGGCAGCCCCCAGGGACCCTGCACTGCAGGGAGACACAGCCACAGGCCCTACGGGAGGGTCCCACAGGACGGGCCCCAGCGTGCTCAGGCTCCACAGGGCATCAAGAGGGCTTTGGACATGCCTGGCTAGTAAAGGACAACACTGTGTCATGAATTCAGCCCCCTGCACTGAAACTGCCTGGGACCCTCACCCTGTCCAGGACACTTTGGGCCTGCCCTGCCATGTGTCCAGCCACCAAGGATGAGCCAGCTCAGGCTCACATGAGTGTCTGGCCACCAACGCTCCAAGCTCTTCTCTCATGCTGCCCTGGTCCAGCCACCTCTGCAACCGACCCTGCCCACGGAGCAGGTGCAGGCTTTCTCCAACTGTTTTTGGAGGTATACACGGTAATACACAAGTCTAAGTGCACACTTCAACTAAGCTGCTCTTATGTCAGCAGGTCCCCCAAAGTCCACATGCTGGACACTTAGTCCTGACACAGCACTGCTGGGAGCTGGGTCTCTGGGAGGTGAGCAGGCCACGTGAGTTCCCCTCATGAATGGATTGATGCCACTGGAAAGAGGCTAAAAAGGGGTGGCGGAAGTGGACTGGTTCTATTGCCCTCGCACCTTCTGCCACATGAGAACCCAGCAAGAATGCTGCTGCAGGCTGGACACTGGCGTCCTGACCTTGCCTGCACCTCCAGAACTATGGGCAGCTAGTCTCTGTTCTGCGTAAGTGGCCAGTCTTGGCTCTCCCTCTACAGCGGCACAAGTGCGCTTCAGCAAAGTCGGAGATGATGGATGGGACCAGACAACGCGGCCTGTGTCCTGTGCTCAGTTGTGTTTTCTCACCACCGCGCATGACTGTGCGGAGGCACCATGACACATGTCTACCCTCTGTTGACGGACACTCTCAGGAGCCTTGTGCTGGTTCTGAGCACGTTTCTCCTGGGGACAGGTCCACCCTCCCACACCCTCGCCAACCTCCACCTCAGCCGTGCAGGTCGGGCCTGCGGTGGCATCCCCGACACCTGCTGCCAGCGAGGAGACCCTGCACACACTCACTGGGGAGGCGCCCAGCCAGGGGCCCGTTTTCAATGGCCCATCTTTCTCTCTTCCACTGAAGTTCTTTGCACGTTCTGGATGTGGGTCTCCTGTCTGATATGTGTGCTGTGAACAGCTTCTCCCAACCACTGATCCCTTTTCAGTCTCTTAATGGTGTGTGATGATAAATGTTCTAGTTTTAAGGAACCATAAATTACTAAGCTTTTCTTTTATGGTTAGTCCTTCTGTTTAGGAAGTTTCTGCCTAACTGAAGGTTATAAAGACATTCTATATTCTCTTCTACGAACTATATCTTGGTCTCATGCACCTTGTGAGAAAGGTCAAAGCCTGTCTTCATCTGTTTTGTGCTGCTGTAACATGGCACCACACACAGGCCGTTCATAGAGAACAGGTGTTTACTTCTTCACCGTTCTGGAGGCTGGAAGTCCAGGACCGAGGGGCCCCCTCTGGAGAGGGCCTCCGAGTCACGGTGTCCCACAGCGGAGGAGGAAGGGTGAAACAGCACGCAAGCGAGAGCTCCAGGAGATGGAGCGTGCAGCCTCAGACCCCTCTGTCACCCACACTTATCCCTTCACGAGGGGGAGCCCCTTGACCCCAGCTCCTGCCGTCAGGCCCACCTCTCAGCACTGCTGCCCCAGGATCAAGCTTCCAGCACAAGAACTGTGGGGACACTCAGCACAGCGGGCTCGGCCCACCCGCACTGCACTGAGGCGGCTCCTTTGCTGTAAATACACAACGTGTGAGGGTCAGTCTCGGGCCCTGCTGTTCTCTGGCTCCATTTGTTGACTCCTGCAGTCTGTTTGTGTACCTCTGAAACTCATTCGCTAAAATCTAAACCCCGAGATGCCAGTATTAGGAAATAGGTCCTTTGGGAGGTGACTCAGTCACGAGGGTAGGGCCCATGAACGGATCAGTGCTCCCACATTAGGCCCCAAGGAGCTGTCCACATGGACTGCTGACACCCTGCACACAACACTGAGGGCTGCAGAGCTGCTCTCCATCCCTGACAGGGTCAGTCCTCCAACAGTGCTCTTCTTCAAGCTGTCTGACCGCCCAAGGCCCTTTGCAAACAGCTTGTGGAACCCAAATGACACACCCCTGCTAGGCTCCGACTGGAGTTGCACTGGAGCTAGATACCACTAACATCTCTACCACATCCTGGGGCTGCTGTAACAGCGCCACAGACCAGGTGCTTCATAGTTCTAGAGACCAGAAGTCAGAAGTAAAGGTGTCTTCAGGGCCGTGCCCCCTCCAAAGGCTCGAGGGAGGGTCCTTCCTGCCTCTTCCAGTTCTGGGGGTTCCAAGCAGTCCTTGGCGGCTGGCTGCCTTGCTCCAGTCTCTGCCTCTGTCTTCATGTGGCTTCTCTGCATGTTCTCTCCTTACAAGGACAGCATCATTTAATTAGGGCTCACTTGCATCACCTCATCTTGATTATGTGTGTCTGTAATGACCCTATTTCCATATAAGGGCATATATCCTGAGGTTCCAGGAAAGACATGAATTTTGGGAGGATACTATCCAACTCTGCACAACATCCTAGTAATATTGAGTCTTCCAATCCATGAACATGGTATGTCCCTACTTTTTACGTTTTGGGATTAATTTTCTCTCAGCAAGTCTTCGTAGTTTTCAGAGTAAAGGTTTTACATGTCTTCTGTCAGATCTATTCCTAGGGACTTGATGCTTTCTGAGTTACTGTAAGTGGCATTGCTTTTTAGTTCATTCTGTCACTGGTACGTAGAGATACTAAATTCTTATTTAGCAATTTCGCTGACTTCTTATGCTCACCACAGGGGTGCAAGCTCTCCGATGTTCTGCTGTGAGCCGCCATGTGACTGCGAGGCGTGCGGCCAGGGTGCCTTCCTTTTCCCTCCTTCAGCCCTTTCCTCCTCTCTTTGGCCTTGCTTTCCTTGTTCTGTTTGCAAATCTGGGGAAAATGTCCAAATACTTCACGGCCAGCTATGCTGGGGCTTAGGGCTTGTGTGTGTTCTCCTCACCAGAACAAGGAAGTTCCCTCATCAGATGCTTTATCAATGAAAAGATGATCACATGTGTTTTCACCTCCGTTCTGTGAATGTGACTAATTTCCAAATGTTAAAACCACCTCACACTGCTGATGTAAACCAGTTGTGGTCAAGAGTATTTATCCTTGTTACTTAACACCAGGTTCTACTGGCCGATACACTGTTTAGAATTTTTATATCTGTTTTCATGAGATACTGGCCTGCCACGTTCCCTACTCTACTGTTCTTATCAGGTGGTCTTCATAAGGTCATGCTGGCTTCACGACAGCTAAGAAGTGCTGTTCCTTTTCATATTCTCTGGAAGAGTCTACAGAACTAGTGCAGTCTCTTCCTCAAATGTCTGGAAGTTTTATTAATGCAGCAATATGAACATGGAGCTTGTCTTTGTGGGAGGGTTTTAAATTACAGACACATTTCTATAATAGATATTCCAACTCAGTGTTTGTTCCTATGGCCATTTTGCGACATTGCTGTTTTTTAGAGAACTTGTCCACTTCACCCAAAATGTCAAGAGTAAGGGCATGATGTCCCCCTCACATGCTCTGGCCATCTCCACAGTCTGCAGGGTCTGCGGGGTCCTCCTGTCCATTTCTAGTTGGGAACCTGAGTTCTGTCTCCTGTTTCTTGACCAGATTTGTTAAGGGCTCATTATTGTTTTTGGAGAATTAAAACCACCTTCTGGCTTTGTCGATTTCTCCTGTGCTTTCTCTCTATTTAACTGAATTCTGCTCTCACCTTTGGCTATTTTTTTCCACCCACTTTCTTTGGGTTTAATTTGATTTTTTTCCTCTAACTTCCTGAGATGTGAGCTTAGGTCGCTGACTTTCAATCTTTTTTCTTTTTAGTATACACATTTAAAGTCCTCTATACACTGCTTTAGATGCACCCCACGAGTTCTAATAAGTGGTATTTTGATTAGCACTCAGTTTAAGGGATTCCTTACTTCAACTATGATTCCTTTTTGGCACCAGGATTACTTTTGAGTGGACTATCTCTGGGGGTTCTCCTAGCACTGATTCCACTTTAACCCACCTTTTAAGACATCTGGAGACTTGGGGTAAGACCCAACATGCGGTCTATTCTGGCAAATGCCCCACTTGAATAGATGAAGTTTTTTCAGGTCGTTGCTGAAGTGTGCAAAACTCAGGTCCTGTTGGTTAAACATATTTTAAAAAGGACTTCTACATCCAAACTGATTTTGTTTACTTATGCTGGTGGCCAAGGGGAGGAGAGACCACCAGTGCGGGTCTGCCAATTTTACCTCTTGGTTCTGAGCGCCTTGCTGGAGGTCCTGAAGCTGTGCTTGAAGCACTCACACACACTGTGGCATGCTCCCTCTCGGCGGCCCTTCCTGTCCTTGTTTACACTGTCTGAAGTTGACACAGGGGCACCAGCCCTCTTCTTGTTAATGTTCTCATGGTACTGATCTCCATCACTTAATTTTAGCCTTTCTGGGTTTTCATATTCATGTGCTTTCTTAAAGTGTGGCTCTTGTAAACTGTGTGTACTTGAGTTTTTTGGTTTGCTTGTTTTTAATCCACATTGAGTCTTGTCTTTTGGTTGGAATGTTTCATCCACGGACATTAGGGGAATGGCAGACACAGCTGGGCTTCGGTCTACTGGCTGGCTACTTGTTTTCTATCCCATCCGCCTTTACTTCTCTACTCTTGTCTTATTCTGGATTGAGCGTGTATTTTTTCCATTTTCTTCTCCTCTGTCAGCTCTTGACCGCTCACCTGGGGCTCACAGCAGGCACCTGTGGCCCTCCACTTCCTGGGGATGGACACCCCCTCCTACAGATTTGCTTCTCTAACCTCTCCTGTCCCTGTGTGCTGCTGTACAGCTTTCACTGCCACACTGGGTTCAGGGCCCGTAACAGTGCAAGGGTGGTATTCTGAGAAGCTGGCGTTCATCCAGTCTGATCTGACCCACAAGCTCATGCTTCCCAATGTTCCTCAGCGTCTCCCTTCTTCGAGCTTGAGGCTTGCTTCTAGATCATTCTCCACCTGCCCTGCAGTGTTCCCTGAAACGCAGTTCTGCCGGTGATAAACTCATCCTTTGCCCGAAAACATCTTTACTTGGCTTTCATTTTTCAAGGATAGTATTGCTGGATATAGGATCCCAAGATTGTTCTTTCAGCACTTTAGAAAAAGTCACTCAACGGGCTCCTGGCTTCCCTGCTTCATTTAAAAGTCAGCTGCCAATCACGTCACTTTGAAGGTCACCAGCTCTCACCCCCTCCATCCCCCTCCCCAGGTGCTTAGTAGTGTTATCTTGGGCCTTCAGCAATTTAACTATGAGGTTCTGAGGTGGGGTTTTTGTTCTTTGATATTAAAAAATCCCGTTTGCTGTTTGCAGGGCTGTTGATTCTATGGTGTTATCTTCCTCCAAAGGAGAAAAAAGAAACAGAAATGTTGAAATTGTGCACGTTGGGTTTTTTAAAAAGTGTAAGGTGCCACTAGGAGAAAGATAAGAAATGTAAAACAGACGAGAAATGTAAGAAAGAAAAACAAAGATATAGGGCCGGCCCGTGGCTCACTTGGAAGAGTGTGGTGCTGATAACACCAAGGCCATGGGTTCAGATCCCTATATAGGGATGGCGGTTAGCTCACGTGGGAGAGTGTGGTGCTGACAACACCAAGTCAAGGGTTCAGATCCCCTTACCGGTCATCTTTAAAAAAAAAAAAAGAAAAGAAAAACAAAGATATGAAAACACGAGATGAACCCTCTGTCTCCTGATGCTGACGTCCACAAGAGCAGCAGCCGCTAATGCCTCCTGCGCCCACTGCGTGGCAGGCCCCGGTCCAGAGCTTCCCTGCAGGAGTGTGCAGACTCCCCCCTAGGCCCCTGTGGGGCTGGCCCCGATATTTCCTTCGTTTACTGGTTAGGAAATAAGAGCACAGGGCCTGGGAAATGGCGGGCCCTGCAGAGCCTGCACACAGCCCCCTCTGGCTCCTGGGACAACATTCATTCCATTCTACTTCAGCTGGTCAGTGTGTGTGTGTGTGACTGAGTAGAAAGACCGTCAGCTAGAATCAGAACACCCAAGTCTGGAAGCCTGCTCTGCTGATTCCCAGCCATGTCCAGTGAGGTGAATGTCACCTGTGTCACTGAGGGCCAGGCACGTGTAGTCAGGCATCTCATTTCTAACACAGTAAGCTAAAAAGTGCTGCACAGGATGAGACGATTATTCCTCAGCTGTGCTTATTTATGTGCCTGTCTCTGAAACTAGACCGTGAGCTTCCAGACAGGAGGGACAGCATCTTACCTCCAACCTCTGCACCCAGCAGATCACTGTGTACATAGCAGGTACTCAAACACACTTGTTGGAACATGGTAAACACCCCCACACCTGGTTATACCACATCCAGGTGTAAGTGGCTAACTTCTGGAAAGAAATGCTGGGGCCGGCCCGGTGGTGCACTGCTACAGTGCGCCGCTTGGGAAGCGCGGTGGCACTCCCGCCGAGGGTTCGGATCCCACGTACGGACCGGTTCCCGCTCACTGGCTGAGCGAGGTGTGGGGGCAACACCGAGGGTTGCGATCCCGTTGCCGGTCCCGGTCCAGTACGGGCACGACACTGAGGGTTGCGATCCGTTGCCGGACACAAAAAAAGACAAAAAGGAAAGGGAAAAAAAAAAAAAAAAGAAATGCTGCAGGTTAATCCAAAGCCATCAAGGTGCCAAGCGGAAGTCACCCTG